CGGGGCGGCAGAAGCCGCCGCCGGGAAGGGCCGCGCCCGAGCGAAGCGATGGCCCGGCCCGCCGCGGACCTCCGCCTCGCCCGGTGCAGCGGCCTCGCGCGGCGGCCTTGCGCAGCGGCCTCCCGGAGGCGTCGGGACGCGCCCGGAGCTGGAGGCTGCCTGCCGCCTGGCCAGGGCGGTCTAGCCGGGATGCCTCCGGAGTCGGGGTGCGGGGCATCCAGTCGGCCCGGCCCGGCCCGGCTCGGCCCGGCCTTCTTGCGCGGAGGAGCCAGGTGCGTTGGGTCACCGGCGGGCCTCGGTGGCCTCGCGGAGAGCCTGCGTCGGGCGTCTTCTGGCTTCCCACGGTCTGCTTTCGGCCCGGTGCCTCTGTGCCCGCGGGGCGAGAGCCGAACGAAGCAGGAAGTGCGCGGGCATTGTGGCTGCCCCGATTAGCCTTGGTTCCCCCGCAGCTGCAGAAGCGCTGGAGTGCACCTCCCATCCTCGGGGGGTGATGGAGTTTGTAGTCCAACATTCCCGGGGCGCATCTGATTTGGGGGGGGGGTGTCGAGGTGCTCTTGAGTGGCTGGGGCCCGAGATGTCCCTTGGCTTCGCGTTGGATTGTGTTCCTGGGCCGGCTCAGCCGCCCCCTCACCCTCGATAGGCTGTTCTGGGGCAGGGACCCAGCGGGCCGCCCTCCCTTGCCTTGGGGCACAGGCCTTGCCTGCAGAGAGCCCTGCGGGCATCCCCGGCTTGAAGAAACCCGAGCAGCAGCTGCGAGAGGCCTTGCTGCAGGGCCCTTGCTGCTGGCCAAGGGAGCCGACTGGCCTCCCAAGCAGCGGGGCGGAGCTGTGCCTGCCCGTGCTAGGCTGCCCACCCGTCGTTTGGCTGGGTCCGGTGTGGAAAGCGGCTGCTTCAGCCACCGTTGGGGAAGGAGCCCTGGGGGCAGCGGTTGCCTCCCTTGCAGGCCCCCCAGAGGACTCGCGCTGAAGGCTTCCACGGCCTTCCCAGGTGCTAATCCCGCTGTCCTTCCTGCAGGCCAACTTGGCGTCTGTGGCAGGCCTGTCCCGGCGCAAGAAGGTGGTCCTGACCGCACTGGGTGTGTTGACTGCAGGCGGAGCTGGCCTGGCCGTGGCCCTTCATACCGCTGTGAATGCTGGAGAGCTCGAGCTGCATCCGCCAAAGTTCCCCTGGAGCCACAGGGGCATGCTGTCCACCCTGGACCACAGCAGGTGCGAGAGGGCCCCAGGGGGCGGGGGCGGGGGCGGGCAGGAGCGCCTCTCCGGGAAGGGTGCCGTGCGGCTTGCCTCTTCCGGGCTCGTGAGGGGCCACTGTGGGACAGTGGTGTTGGCTGCAGCGGTCAGCAAGGAGGGCAGGACCCATTCCCTCATCCGTATCTGCCACACCGTGTTGCCGTCTCCTCGGCCAAAGAGGCGTGCGAGTCGGAAGCGAGGCCTTGCTGGAATCGAGCGGTTGCGGTGTCCTGCCCTCACCGACTCCCTCGAGTGCAGCTGCTCTCTTGCTCCTAAATGCCTCTTCCCAGATGCCCGAAGCTCCTCCTGCTCCCTCCCTCAAGGGTGGGAACAAGCGCCATTTTCCTCTGAGGGCCATGTGGTCGCTGCCTGCCTTGCTTGGTGCTGTGGCCTCTCGCCTGTGTGTCCACCCTCCAGACCAGCTCTTCCCCCCGGCAGCCTGGCAGAGCACTGGGGTCTCGGCGCTCTTTGCTGCTCTGCTTGAGCTCTGTCCTCAGAGAGAGAGGGAGCACGCAAGCGAGCCCGCACAACAGAGCCGTCGCACACTGCTGTGTACTAGAAGTAGGAAAGGAGAGCCGCGTACGAGTGCCGCCATCCCCGCCTTTCGAAGAAATGCGTGCACAGCCACAGTAGTAGCAGCCTTCCAGCCTCCCACTTCCAAGGCCTTGCTCAGGGCGCCAGGCAGACGTGGGGCCTAGATGATGGCCTTCCTCGCGTGTCCCTCTGCCCTGCTGACCCTCCGGAAAGGCCCCAAGGCCCCTGTCCCGCTCACCCACTTTCCCGGCTGCCGCTCCGGGGGTCAAGCAGAGGAGGGGAGCAGGCACGGCTGCTTGTGTGCTTAGCTGTCCTAGGATAGCCTTGCGACCCCACCTGAGGAGCTGCCTGTAAACATATGAACCGACTGTGCCTGCAGCGTCCGGCGTGGCTTTGAGGTGTACAAGCAGGTGTGTTCAGCGTGCCACAGCATCGAGTACGTGGCCTACCGCAACCTCGTTGGGGTCTCCCACACTGAAGCTGAAGCCAAGGCCCTGGCGGAGGAGGTAGGCAGAGTGCACGGCAGGCACTGCCGCGGCGGAGGGCGGCTGGCCGGGCACGCAGGTGCTCTGCGGCTGCCTCCCCTCGCGGGGGCTCGGCTGCATCACCGAGAGGGTGGGGCTTCTGGCCAGATGCTCTGACAGGCCTGGCATTCCCTACGTCAGGTTGAGGTGCAGGATGGGCCCGACGAGAACGGCGAGATGTTCATGCGGCCCGGCAAGCTCTCCGATTACTTCCCCAAGCCCTACCCGAATCCCCAGGCAGCCCAGGCGGCAAACAATGGCGCATTGCCTCCCGACCTCAGCTACATCGTCAACGCCAGGTGACGTGCCAGGCGGGGGCCGGAGGAGGGTGTGCGGGGTCCTGGCCCCGGGACAGTGGCCGAGTGGCTGGGGGCCTCTGAAGGGAGACCGGCGAGAGCGCCTGGCGAGTCCTCTGCGCTTCTCTTCCAGGCACGGGGGCGAGGACTACGTGTTCTCCCTGCTGACCGGCTACTGCGATCCACCCGCTGGCATAACCGTGCAGGAGGGACTGCACTACAACCCCTTCTTCCCTGGGCAGGCCATTGCCATGGCGCCCCCGATCTACAACGAGATCTTAGAGTTTGAGGATGGTAAGCGGGCCAGGCCGGGCCGGTTCCCCTCCCCTCGGGCACCAGCCCTCGGGCACTGACTGCCTTCTGCCCTCCCTGCAGGCACCCCTGCCACCATGTCGCAAATCGCCAAGGACGTCTGCACCTTCCTGCGGTGGGTGGCGGAGCCAGAGCATGATCAGCGCAAACTGGTCGGCCTCAAGGTCAGTGGCCGGCCCTGTGGCTGCGAGAACCCTCGGGCCCCACCCAGGCGGAGCCGGCACGAGGCCGGAGGCTGCCGGCCCAGGCATCTGAGGCAGCCGGGGCAGGTGCCTGGAGCAGCCCTGCCCTCGTCCGTGCCGCCAGCACACGAGCGCGGTGGCCCACCTGCGCCCGCACCCACGTGGGCTGCGGAGGAGCCACCTCTCGCTGGCCCGGCCACCTGTCACCAGCCTCCCCCCCTCCCTCCCCCCCCAGGTGCTGCTGGTGGCCGGCATCCTGTTGCCGCTGCTGTACTGCTGGAAGCGGCACACGTGGTCGGTGCTGAAGAGCAGGAACATTGTCTACCGGCCCCCCAAGTGACCCCGTGAGTGGCGCAGACTCTGACGCCGGGACAGGGGCGGCGGCCGCACCTCCTTCGTGCCCCAGGAATGTACGGGCAGACCGGCAGCTGGACCGGCCGCCCCACCGGAGCACTTGTGGCCATTTAGCGTTTCCCCGCCCACCCAGGCACCCCCGAGGGCCCTGGGAAGAGGACCGTGCGGTGCGGGGCCGGCCGGCACCCAATAAATCTGTTTCTTCAACCAGAGGGAAGCTGCTGCTGTGTGTCTCGGGGGTGGGCCGCCGTGTGCCCCCAGCCCTTTGCCCCCCACCCAGAAAGAGCCTTCGGCAGAGTCCCAGCACTCATCTTTTTATTGGCGGGGCTGCCCCCTTTGGAGCCGCAGCACCCCCACGCCCCTTCCCGCCGCGGTCCCTCGACGCCGGCCGGGCATCATGCATGCGCTGCCTCCTGCTGGGACTGTCAGGCTTGGGGCGCCGGGCCTCCATGGCAACAGGGGTGCAGCAGCGGGGGGGGTCAAAGGCACAGCTGGGCGGAGGCCTGGGGAAGCCAGCCTGCCTTTTCTCTGGCTCCTACCCGGCAAGCGGAAGAGCACCTTCCTCGGAGATGGGAACGTCGCCCACGCTCTGAGGTAGACGCAGCATGTTGGCAGAGAGTGAGGAGGGCCCCCCAGCGCCCCCACAGCATTCAGGGTGTTTCCACAGGGGCTGTGTGGCGGAAGGCCCGGTGTGGGGCAGGAAAGCGAGGCCGGGGAGCTGTGGAGGCCCCCGCCCTGCCCCCAAGGCAAGTAACGGGTCCATGCCAGAGGGCGCCTTCTGCCGGCCGCGTCGAGCCCGGTCTCATCCCCACAGCGGGTGCTCAGTGGCAGTTCTGGCAGCGGGGGTGGCACCGCTCCCCATCCACGTTGCACCGGCAGCCGCCGCTGGTGTCTCCGGGGCCCTGCGGGAAGGAAGACCGTGCATCAGGGCCTGGCAGTAGGCAGGGCCACCCGGCCTTCCAGGGGGGCTAGTCGAGCTGCCGCCGCCGCTGCCTTGTCAGGTAACACGCGGAGCCCAAGGCGCCTGGGGCTGAGCACACCGCGTGCCCGCCGCCCGTCCTGCAGGAGGGGCTCCTTGCTGCGCTCTGTCCCCGAGTGCCGCCCGGGCAGGCGCTTGCTGTGGCGCGTCCGGCGCGCCTGTCGGGGCCAGGATGAGGCGAGCCGCATGCTCCGAGGGTGGCCCCCAGCAGAACCGCCATGGAGCAGGCGCAGAGGTGGGGCCCAGGCCTCGCCGTCCGTTGGGAACGGGCACAACCCTTCCTGGCAGTGCCGTTTGGACTGGAGTCGGGGAAGCCGCTTCTCACCGCAGTCCAGTAAGGCAGTCGCTTGACCCAAATGCTGCCAGGCTGTTCTAGTCTCTGAGTGGGTGACCTCCCAGACAGACCAGGGAACACTGGGGATGGACTCTACCTAGACTTTAGTAGGGCTTCCGACATAGTGCCCCGTGGCATTCGGAGAAACGAAGTAGCAAAAAGTGCACTCCGTAGAAAAACTTGGGTGGAGCCACAGCTGGCTGCAGAATCGGACTCTGGGAGCGCTCCTCGGTGGCCCCTTCTCCGGCTGGGCAGAGGAGCCAAGCGGGGAGCCGCAGGGAAGCATCCCGGGACCAGCACTCTCCAACATTTTCGTTCATGATTTAGAGGAGCAAGTGCAAGGAGAGAGAATTACATCTGCAGAGGACACAAAGCTGGGCAGAAGGGCAAACTCCCTGGAAGAGAGAGGTTCCAGGGTGGTCTGAAATTCGGGGAGGATTTCAAGTTCTCCACTTAGGGACGCGAAGCCAAACGCGCTGCTACAAGAAGGGGAATGCTTGGCTCGACGAGCCTGCAAACGAGAAGGATCTTGGGGTTCTTGCCGATCACAAGCTAACTATGAGCCAACCATGGGATGCAACCGCAGAAGGGACGAGCGCTATTTTGGGCGGCATTAACAGAAGCGTCACTTCCGAAATACAGTTCCACCACCTCAGCACTCGTCAGACCTCACCTGAAGGACTATGTCTAGTTCTGGGTACCTATGTTTAAAAAGGACGGAGACAAGCCATGATTCAGGGAGTGGAGGCAAAGCCATCGGAGGAAAGACTGAGAAAACTGGGCATGTTCAGCCTCCAGGAGAGAACACTGAGGGGAGATATGATAGCACTGCACAATTCCCCGAAGGCCGTCAAAAAGAGGAAGGGTAAGATCTCTTCTTATTCATTCCAAAGTGCAGGACATGGAATAACGAACTTAAGGTAAAAGTTGGGGTTAGGAGCAGTAGGACGATGGAACCTTAACTGGGGAAGTCGTGGGCTCTCCCTCGCCGGAGACATCCAAAAAGCACCTGGACAGTCACCTGAGTGGGGTGGTGTAAACTGGTGTCCCGCAGTAGTAGCGGGAGGGACCCGATGGGCCTTCTGGCCCTTTCTAGGTCTGCCACTCGTTGATTCTGACAGCCTTTCAGTACCATTTGGTCTGAACGCTTTCAACGGAGCGGCTTCAGAAAGCAATAGGAATATGCTTATACACATAGAATCATCAAATCCTAGAATAGCAGAGTTGGAAGGGGCCATGGAGGCCATCAAGTCCACCCCCTGCTGTTGCAGGACACCAAGTCACGCCACCCCACTCAGAGGACTGCCCAGCCTCTCAGAATGTGGTGCTGGCCTGCTGCCCCGGAGGCGAGCCCGGCCCTCCCCACACCAGACCCTCCCATTCCGACTCGTTGCCCGCGGCTTCCTCCGGCCGAGCCCCCTTTTTCAGCCTCTCCAGAATCTGCCCTTGACACCCAACGGTGCACAGGCCTGTCCAGCCCTCTGTCCTGCACGAGGCCCTTCTTGGGGCCTTCTGCTCGCTTTGGAAATATTCTCCTAGTGCCCTCAATAAAGACAGCAACTAAAATTAAGCGAGCATCGACTAAAATACTCAAGAGCATTCCGTGGCGTCAAGGTGGGTACTCCACAGGGGCCGGAAGCAGCCTGCAGCCCCAGCCGGAAGCCCCTGGCTCTGCTGGGTGAAGCGTGTGCCGGCCTTCCTGCCCATCCGCTTCTCGTGAGGGAAGCCCGCTGGCTTGGCCCGAATGGGACCTTCTGCAGCTCCACCCCGCTCGCTCTGCAGTCTAGCGGCGTGCAAAGAGCGTGCCGAGGGATTCCCACTTGCCGGCAAAGCCCGCGCTGAAGAGCACGAGGCACACGCCCGCTGGCTGCTGCGTATCCCAAAGTGTCTCCCAAGTCCTGCCTGGGAGAGGGATGAGCCACGAGGACACAACATTCGAAGCGTGTGCTCCCCTCCTAAAGCAGCAGCCGGCCCCCGTGTTTTCAGGGCATGGAAAGGGGTTCTTAGCCTGTAAGGGCAAAACCTGAGCATGCTGCTTTACCAGCATCTCTGCAAGAACCACCGTCGCAGCCTTCCTCACAGATGCCAGGAAATTGGGTGAGCGTGGCCAGAGCGCCAAGGGTACTGTGCTACATCGGACACCGCGCTCTAAGAAGGGTTCCGATCCCTGGAAGCCATTCAAGGAAGGGTAACCGAGACAACCTTTCTAAGGAGCTAAGCCCTGCGGGAAAAGATGGACGATGCAGCCAGCCCGGGATGAGTCCTCGTGGGAGCTGCTGCTGGCCCGGGAGGAACGGCGGCGTTGGGGGCCAGGCGCCACCTGCTGTGGGGCCACTCCGCTGACGCTGACGGGAGCCCGGGACCTGCAGCGCAGAGCAGAGCCGGCGCCAAGGAGGCAGCCGTCGTTCTCCCGGGAGAAGAGGGCAGGCGGGAGCTTGCAGGGAGCTTCCCCTCGGGGCAGGTGCCGGACTGCCCAGGGCCCCCCCTGTCCCCCCCCGCCCCACCTGCACCAGCCCGGCCTCCCTGCGCACTCACCGCGGGCCCCCAGCGAGGCCCCTTGGTCACCCAGCAGATCTCGGTCTGGCACACGGGGCAGCGCAGCCAGTCGCAGCCGCCCCTCTTCTGCACGACGATGTGGCACATGGGGCAGTGCATGGCCTCTCCCAGCTGCACCAGCGTCTGGGGGGGGGGAGAGAGCAGGTCGCCAGCTGCCCCACAGGACGCCTCCCCGCCAAGCCGCTGGGGAGCGCTCTGGCGGGGGGGCCCGGGAAGAGCGACGCGCTGCTGCGGGCGCCCCCTCACCTTGAGCATGTTGCTGGTCTCCCGGGCTGCTGCCTGCGTGTGGGCCTGGAACTGCAGCTTCTCCTGGTACTGCTTGCAGGTCATGCCCTCGTGGATGGCCTGCGGGAGAAGGGGCCGGCCTCACTGGGCAGGAACGGCCCTGCCTGGCACGGGGGGGCGGGGGCACCGCTGGGTTTCGGTGCACGTGGCGAGCCCCGGAGGCCACGGGGCCCAGAGGCCTGGCAGGAGGCTGCGCCAGCGCGGAGCGCTCCCTTCCGTGAAAGGCGGGCTGGGTGCACGCGACCAGCTGCGCTCTGCCTTCTCGCTGCCCTTTTTCCTGGGCTCGCCCGTCCTGGATCACGCGCACGAAACGAGAGAGCAGGCGGGAGTGTTGCTGAGGGTGCCGTGTGTGTGTGAGTGACTCCCCGCCCGCCCGCCCTCGTGCCCAGCCCCTCTGCCAGCGGCGCACCTCAGGCCACGCCAGCCGCCTCCCCGGGACGCCCGCGGGGGCCGTGCTCACCTTGCAGGCCAGGCAGTTGTGGGCTTGGCAGACGGGGCAGCGGAACTGGCGGGCGCCATCCTCGCAGACGCACCAGCCCAAGCAGTCGGCCGTCTGGCAGTGGTAGCTGTTCCGGGCTCGGCTCTCGGCCACCGCCAGCCGCCGCTCCAGGAAGCGCTCGTACTCCTCCCACGAGACCAGCTGCGGGCGAGAGCTGCCTCAGGGCCCAAGCTGAGGGGCCGGGCACTCGGTCTCCCACCCCCCAGAGAGAGCAGCAGCGGGGGGAGGGGAGGGGCTGGCCACGCCAGCCGCTCTTCCGCATGAGGAGGGCTTCTGCACCCAGCCACCCTTGCAAGACCGGCCTTCTCGGACAGCTTTTTTTTGGGGGGGGGGGTGGAAATGCAGTGTGCTGCTGCTGCAGCTAACCGAGGCACCCAGCACCCGTGCAGGATCTGGGCCCAAGGGCCGAGGCTGCCCAGACTCACCGCCCGGATCTCTCGGTCTTGGAGATGGCTGCCACAGGCGTAGGAATCGTCTCGGAAGGGACACGCCACCTGGGGCTCCTCGCAGCAGTTGATCAGCTGGCGCAGGCAGTCCCTGGGACCGGGGAGGATAGCAGGTGAGCGGGCGCCCGGGGGCAGCCCCCCGCCTGGCGGAAGAGCAGCTTACCTGCAGAAGCTGTGCAGGCACTCCCGCAGCAGCACCCCCTTGCCGGGCTCCACGTCCAGGTAGCAGATGCGGCACTCCATGTCCTCTCGGTTGGGCACTAGCGCCTCCTGGTCCAGCTGGCGCAGCTGCTGGAAATTCTGCAGCCGGGCCTGCTCCTGGGCCTGAAGGAGAATGCAGGGGGTCCCAACAGCTGGAACAAACTGCCCCCCTGGGCCTTGGCCGCAGGGGAGGGCAACCGACTGTTGCCCAGGTGCAGCAGCACTGCAGCCAGACTGGCAGGGTCTGGGGGCGCGGAGATTCTGCCCCCACTCGGCCCCCTCCAGCTGGGGACCTGCCCCAACTCCACAGAAAACTCGACAGCAGCCCTGCCACATCGATGCGATGAAATGCCCGGAAGCATAGAAAAGCGAGCCTCCCACGAGGAGCAAGACGCACATGAGGACGTGGCTGCCGAAATCTGCCCAGAAGCGTGGGCTGCTTTTCTGCCACAGCCGTATTTGGAAAGAGCGCGCACGGAGCGCGGTGATCGTCCGGCCCCGTGCGACTTCCACCGTCCTTGCAGGTCCCTGGAAAGAGGCCGCCATACTCCACATGTGGAGTGGGGTGCAACGCAGGGAAACGGGGACCGGCCTATTGCGCATTTGCAGCGAGGGCTGAGAAGCCCCCTCGGTGGCTCTGCAATGCCCTCGTTGCTCCGTGGCAGCTGCAGCCATGTTTAGCCACGGAGACGCGCGCTCGGCACCCAGGAAAACCCAGGCCACTGTCACCAAGTCGCCCGCTTAGCCAGGTAAGAGCTAGGACATCCAACACCACAAGACCACAAGAAGGGCCGTGCGGGACCAGGTGGGGCTCCTCCTGCAGCCTTCTGTTCGAGCTGCCCCAGTCCCTGCAGTGCCTGGTGCGCCTCGGCACCCTGCTTCCGAGGCTGGCGGCCCCCCGGGCCAGCAAGCCCTCCCGGCTGGCCACCTCCTCCCCCTTGGCGGGCCTGCCCGCTCTGCTCTCAGGGCCCTCCCAAAGGGTGGCCGACCATGTCTCACGGGGGCGGATGCTGCAGTCCAGGTCTGCACCTCCCTCCGAGCGCTCCGGAAGCCCCACCACCACTCCAGGGACACTCCGGGAAAGGGAGGACACCTGCTCCACCCCAGGTGTCCTCCCAAACGCCCCTCCCAGACGATAGACTGCAACGGCGAGACCCCCCCTTGCCCCGTCATGCCAGGCCAGATCTCCTCCGAGCATCCTTGGACCCGGGATGCTCTGACCCCCCCGCATGGCTCGACGCTCACTCACACCGGGCCGGGCCGGCCACTCCGACACACGTTTCCTCAGCTGAGATCCCCGTGGAGCTCCTGCCGGTCTCGCCCGGTCTAAACAGCCTGGTGCCATCAGCAAACTCGGCCACGTCACGACCGGTCCCCATCCCAGGCCACTGATGCAGAGGCGGAAGAGCATGAGCCCCAACACGGCCCTGAGGGGCTAAGCCACTGACCTCTCTCCCGGGGGGCCTGCCATTTGTTCCCACTCTGCCCTCTGTTCTTTAAACTGTCGCCAATCGGCCAGAGGACACCGCCCCCCCACCCCCACCCCCCGCAAATTTCATGGCTGCTAAGTTGGCTCTGGAGTCTTTGGTGACTGAGAGCTGATCGCTTCCTCTTCACAGTGAGAATGTCTGCTGGAGAATGCTGTGCGCATCCTCCGCCTCTGCACAGGCGTGGAAAACACAGAACGACAGCACTGCAGCAGAACTAGGACACTCTGTGAGTCAAAGGTCAATAGCGATGTATTTATTCAAATGCCCTCCTTACAACAAGCCTTCCGATGCAACACACACGGGCCAACGCAAACTCAAGCCTTCTGGTTCCGCATTGAGTTTAGTCACAAGGAGGTCCGTCTGTCTCAAACATAAGTGCACCGATTGCGTTATTTGCACGGACACCGTTGAACCGAATGCTCGGATCCGCCCTGGGGTGCCCGCCTGGGCCCAAGCCCTCGGCACGCTCGGAGCCTGTGGAAGGGGCGCTCCGGCAGCAGAGCGGCGGTGCCCACTTGACCAGAGGGTGCCAGCTGGAATCCCCCGCCCCGAAGGCTCCGCCAACTCACATCCACGTGGAAGACGGATCAGCTCCCCAAATCCAGTCACCTGCAGCTCAGGCTCCCCCAGACTCCCCTTCCGACACCCCAAAGAGTTGCTGCCAGCCAGCACAGGTACAGCTCTGGGCAAGGAACGCTAGCTGCCCCTCGGTCAGGGAAGTATTCGCCGCAGAAGCCACTGCCCCCCACACCATCCTAAAGGAGCCGCTGCAGGGAAAAGCTCGGGGCAAGAGGGAGCGCGGATGGGGCTGGGACTCGGGCCACTCTGCCACTGGAGACTGCCCAGAGGAGCCTGGCTCCTGAGAGCCAGGCCACGCCTTTTGCCCCTGGCCTCGTGGGACTGGTCGAGGCCGCAGACCCACTGGGCCGGAGGTGCGCCTGCTCCCAGCAGCTGGCGCAGCAGAGGCCACACGGGGGCTGCTCTTGCGGGGAGCCGGCGCCCAGCGCCCGCCGCCGGCTCACCCTTTGCGCCGATCGAGCGATGCATGCATGCTGCCGCGGGCCAAGCCCTGTGGCCGGGCAGGGCTCACGCTCGAGGGAAGGCAGGACGCTGCTCCAGCCGCCGCCCGCAGCGGAGTGCCGCTTTCTTGGAAGGGGCTCTGGGGCCAGGCCGCGTCCCACAGGCCATTGGAGCAGGCGGGGGGGCCCGTGTTCCCAGGTGGCTGTGGGTCACTTCTCCGGGGCTCGCCCGGGAGGCGGGTTGGGTGAGGGTGTCCGGGCATCACGCCAATCTGCCTGTGCCTCTCGTAGCCCCCCCGAGTCCCCCTGCCTCAGCCCCCCAAGAGGCACCGCGAGGCCTTGCCGCCCGCTGGGTGCCGCACGGCCTGCGCAGGGCAGTCCATCGCCACTTAAGTGCTCGCGAGCCTGCCTGCGGTGTGGCGGGACTCGGGCGCGACGGGGGCAAGGGGCCAGGGCCGCTCCGCCTGAGGCTCGGCCGGTGCCGGCCCAGCTGCACCACCCGGCAGCCTCCCGCTGCCACTCCCCAGCGCAAAAGCTGCGGGCTGCCCGGGAGGAGCAACGCTTGCTGCTGCGGCCCATCCCTGGGAGAGGGTGTGGGGCAGCTCACACTTCTGCCCCAGACTTCTCGTGTAGGTAGTGCTATGACCAGGACCCCCCACCCCCCAGATCAGGGGCAGCTGCTTCAGATGTGTGCCCCAGGTGTCCACAGGACCCCAAGATGGAAGAGCCACTGCAGCAGTGCCAGTTCCTTTTCTGAGATGGAGCAGGAGCTGCACTGTGGCATCCACACCCCCCACAGCCCCACAGCCCCCACGTGGGGGGCCTGCTGTCACACGCCCCCCCCCCAAGGCTCTTCTGAAGTTCACATCAGGGGCAGCCAGAAGCCCCTGCAGGGTGGGCACGGCAAGCAGCAGAGGCCCTCCAGGTCCCATCCTGGGAGATGTCGGCCAGGTGGCCTCCACAGGCACGCCAGCGCCCTCCTGGCCAAGCCAGTTCTTCCGACCGCAGAGCAAAGCTGGCAGGGATGGCCGTGGGGCCTTCTGCGGGCGAGAGCCTTCCGGAGTGTGTGTGGCGCTCGCTCCAGCAGCAGCAGCAGCCCTGCCCCCACACCCCCCCAGAGGTCACAGAGGGACACTGGAATCCGGCCCAAACGAACCCTTTAATGGAACACAGGAGTTGCTCTCAATTCGCTCTGAAAGGTCAAAGACCACAGGGACAACAACCCATCTCCACACGGCGCCCGAAGTCTCCACGCAGAAGAGCGCTGGCCAGGCCGGCGCGAAGGGGCACCAGCAGGCCCCTTCGGGACCCCCAAGGGCCAGAGTGGGGCCGCCCACGCTGGGGCAACAGCAGCATCCTATCCCAGGTTGGCTTCGGCAAGCGGGCGACGGCGGAGGCTGGGGCCGGCCCGGACAAGCCCCGCAGAGGCGAGGACGTCCTCCCTCCGGCTCAGGAGCAGGCGGGTGGGCAGCAGGCCGCACGGTCGCCCCGCACCGAGTGCCATCCGGGCAGAGGCGCCCGGTGAATCAGTCCTGCAGGTCTGCCTCCCGCGCGGCTCAAGCGGCAAGTTCAAAACGCAGGCGTTCCGGGGCTGGAGGAGCGGCCTCGTCTGCAGGCCCCGCCAGCAGGAGTGAGGGGCAGCCTGGGGAAACGGGGCCGGGGGGGGGTGCCTGCGGCCGCTGCAACCGTCTGGGCAGCCAACACTCTCCCTGGCGTGAGGCCACCCAAGCCCCAATCTGCCACTCCCACAGGCCAGCCTGCCACCACCCGCACCAAACCGCGGGGCACCCGTCTGAAGGCGGGGAGCGGGACTAAGGCAAAGTTTGGCTGACACGCCGGGAAGAGAACCAGCTTGCAGGAGGCATCCAGAGCAACGCTTGCCCAAGGCGCCGGCTGGATGCCAGCCTTTGGGGCTCCCCTGTCCAAGCCCTTCGTGCGGGAGCAAGGCTTGGTCTGTGGCAAGTGGAGCAGCAGGTGGGCACCACGCCAGACCGGGACGCAAATCGGACAAAAGGCGGAAGGCTGGGGGACAGTCAGGCAAGCCCCCTGGGGGCTCCTGGGGAGCCCTGCCACCGCCAGATTGCCGCTGCCGCACAGTTGCTGCGGGGGCGCTTAAGCCCTCTGGGGTACCCGTCCCCCCCGCACCGAGGCTGGCCCCCGAGAGCAGCGGGCCACAGACGCCCCGAGCTGCAGGCCCTCACAAGCACATGAGGCCAGCGGGAGCGGCCGGACCCCCGAGCCACCCGGCCCATCTTGGCAGCCGGGGGCATGGCCCACGTCTCCACAGAGGATTCTGCTGCCCAGACCGATGCGAGGCCCCTCCACCAAGCGGAGCGTGGGGCAGGCCTCGGAGAGACAGCTACAAGAACTGCGAGGAGAGGTGGACGAAGTCCTCCAGGGACCCAAGGCTGGGGGCATGTGGCACAGCTGAGCCATCTTCTCTCCTTCCCTTTTCCTGCCACAAGAGAAAGAAGAAAGCAGAGAAGAGAGTCAGCGCGGAGCAGGGCTCACCCGGAGCCTCTTCTCCCGGCCCGGCCGCTTCCCCGTCAGCCCCACCCAGAGCGGCGCTTCTGGCCAGAGCAGCCCAGCCTGCCCCACCGCAGCCACGCTGTGAGCCCCTGGCACGAGGGTGGGCTCACTCAGCCCCCTGCCCGGTGAGGGCAAGTGCTTCTCGCAAGGCATTGTGTGTGCCCGGAAACAGGCTGAGGGACAGAACTAATGCAGAATTCAAGCACAGCCCACAAAAGACCATTTTAAAAAAATGCTAGGCAGGTGGGTCAAATTATATTAGCGTTCTGATATGCAGAAAATCTTTCAAGTATGATAATACATGAATGAAAAACTAAAAATCACTAACTCCACACATTTATCCATGATCAGTTATGACGGCAACACCGAGTTCTATGGAGCCCCACTGAAGAAGGTGCTCGAAACAGGTTGGCCACAGCAAACATACCTGGAAGCTCCCCCTTCTTCTATTAATTATCAGAAGCATTTCTAGGCGGCCCTTAAGAACAATTTTGTCTCAAGGCAACTAACAAGAAATCCCAAGACGGTAGAACCCCTTAGCCAAGGTTGAAGAGTCAGAAACTATTAAATCAACGACGACAGGGACGGACACACCAGGCAGCTCTGACACTACCAAAGCTGAAATCCGACTGCAGCGAAAATCCAGAGCAGGCCACAGAAATGTACTGAGCAAGGACCCAAGAAGCCTCTGCCACTGCCTCCGTGCTGGAGCCTGACGGGGGTCCGGCCTCCCCTGCAGGCACCGCCCAAGCCGCTAACCGGGCCGCTGGACACGGCAGCCAGCTGGACAGCTCCAGGGAGGGCTGCCCAGGAGGCCGCGCTGTGCGCATGGCAGCCCCAGCCAGGCAGCCGCCCGTCTCCCGCGGCCGTCGCAGGGCTCGCTGCCGCCCGGAGTGCTGGAGCAAGGCAGCTCTCCCGCGGCGAGACCTGCCAGGCCCTGCTGCCCTCCTCCCCGGCGAGGGAGAGAGCCGGGCACGCGTACCCAGCCGCCATGCCCTCGATCAGCAGCGCTTGCCCGAAAGGAAGCCCAGAGCCGTTTTACACAAAACACAGGAAAGGCGGGAAGAGGCTCCGGGTATGTGGATTCCGGAAGCCCACTCTGCTCCAAGCGCTTTCTTCGCTGGCACTGCGCGAAACGCAAACGCATCTTCAGCGCATCTCACAAAGTGGCCTTCTTTTTCCTGGGGTCTGTGAAGGCCGGAAGGGTGGCACATGGGTGCCCATTTAAAGGGGTCAGTCTGCTGGTAAAAGCTCTTGAGGAAGGGAAGAGCAGTTTTCGGAGACTTGTGGAGAAGGACACAAGAACCAAGAGCGCTTCGACCAGCTGCAAGGATGCCGCTCTCCCCTGTGCTATTGGGGGCTGCCTCCCCCACCCCATTCATTGCTCCCCCTTGCAGGGCGGACCCGCAAACGGTCAGCACAACACAGCAAACAAGCGGTGAGGCAGCGCCAGAAATCCCCATGCAGGCCTTCCATTTCAGTTTCGCTCCCCAGCCAAGACCAGCCCCCGAGCGGCACCAGAAAAGATAAATTATCATGCAGAGCCCAACGGTGCCACGACCGAAGCCCTAGCAACAGGATTAAAAGCAAGCACCAACAAAAAGCAAGCAACTCGGGGGGGGGGAGGGGATCCTTGGCAGCTCCCTTCCCACAGAGCAGAGGCAGCTTAGCGGCCAACCGAGGGAGAGCGTCGCACAGGAGTCGGGCTGCCTGATCAAGACCGCCAGCCCTGGTGAGGCCCTCGGAGGCTCCTCCAGCGGACGGCAGGGCCCAGAAGGGGGCGCTTGGCTTACCTTCTGATACTGCAAGACCCCCTCCTCCTCCTGCTGCATGCGCCACAGCTCCGCCTCGTCCGGCTTGTAGCTCCCGGGAACTGTGTAGTGGGCGGGCCGGTCTGCACTGCACATCTCACAGCCGGGCCGGGTGGGTTTGTTGATGAATGTGCAGGTAGGACACGGCCAGCCTGCCTGTGGAGGCAGAGCAGAGCGCCCGCCCTCAGCACCCGCGGGCCAGCCACGTGCCGACGGTCCGCTGCGAGGCATCCCAGCTCGGCTGGCCTGGTGCCAGGCGGGGGGCAGGAAGCCCCAAACAGGAGGCGCTCTGCCCCCTCGCCCGCAACGTCTGAAACGCGGGTCGCTGGGCGGGCCACGTGTGGTGCCCCGTCGTGCCACCGGGAGGCCTGCCGGAAGGGAAGGCTCCGGGCAGCTTCCCGGCGTGCGGGGCCCTGCGTGCGCGGCGGTGAGGGCGCCTACCTGCACGGGGGAAGGAGGGGCGGCAGTCGAGGCTGCAGGGGCTCGGGCAGGGCTCGGAGGCTGGCTGACCTGCAGGGTGCCCAGGAGGTGGCTGATGTCCCTGGGATCCGTCTTCTTGCTGGCACTGGTCACGCCTGCCGGCAAAAGAGGAGCTGGAGAAGTGGCACCCGCGCCTTTCAGAGGAGCCCGGCAGCTGCCGCGGCAGCGGGCTTGCTCGCCTTGCCTGGGGAGGAGACGAGGCCCCTGGCTCTCTGTTTGCTCACCTTTCTTGGGCAGAGGGCTGGGCAAGGTGCTGTACTTGTGCTTGGCATCCGAACTGTCCGTGGGCGGCAAGGCGGCTGGCTGCAGCACTGCCCGGCTTCTGTCCTCTTTGTAGCGCTGCTCTGAGAGGTTGACGCCCTTTGCCGAAAGCAGGTAGAGAAAGGCCGTGTCTCCGTCCTTCCGGATTCCGTAAGAGCCGACCGTTCGGTCATCCACACAGAGGCACTGGCCAATGATCCAGCGCTGTACGCAGGGGTGGAACCCATAATCCTGAAAGACCTGGGTGGGGGAGAGGTGCCAAGAAACAGCAGCAGGTCAGCGCAACTAGCCTGGCCTCTCCCTCCATCCCATGTGCGGCGCCCCGAAGCCCCGCGCAGCCTCCTTTAAGAAGCCCAGGGCCAAGCTGCCGCCCCGCAAGCCCGTCTTCCTAGAGGCTTATTGGGGGGAAGACAAGTGCCCCCCCCCCCCGCAGCAGACTATGGCTTATAAGGCTATATACCGATATAAATTAATTTTGGCTGGCTCATATTTTATTTCTGGAGTTCTCTATAATATATACATTCTATTCATTGTTTTACTATTCCTATTGTCTATTTTGCTTTCTTTAATGCTGGTTGCTTACTTATGGATTTTATTGTTATGGGTCTTCTGTAATTGACAGTCATGTGCTATGTTGCACAGTTTTTACACGACTCTATGATGTATAGTTTTTTTCATGATGGAAGCTGCCCGGAGGCTATGGCTAGCGGGGCGGCCTGTGCAACCACTAAATAATAATAAAAATGTTTTAATAAATAATAAATAAATAATAAATAAAATGAGTCACCTGCTGCCGCAGTGCCGCGATCGTGGTGTACACATGGACCCGTGTGGAGATGCTGGCTGAGCACGTCGCATCTTCCACCTGCACCTTCATGCTAAGCGGGAGGAAGGCAGCCAGTGAGAGAGCCCGGAACAAGGGGCGACCTGGCCCGGCCCAGCCCAGCCCAGCCCAGCCCAGCCGCCCCACTGGCGCCGCCCCTCTCCTCCACCCACACCTGATCTCGCTCGCGGGGTAGCAGGACTCAGTCAGCAGGATACGCAGCGTGGCGTGCTGGTGAGCGAGCACCGTGGCGCAGCGCATGGCCTCCTCCTCGTCCCCGTGCTCGATAGCCACAGACAGACGATTCGCCAGCTCCTCTGGAGAGAAGTGGACATATTTTACACGCATGCACGTCATCCTCCCTCTTTCCCAAAGCGGTAGCCATATTTGACCGTTCCGTGAATTTCTGCCATGTGTTCCTTAATCTGGTAACTTTCCTTTATTTTCACTGCCGGCTCACGGTTTAAGATTTCCGCACTAAAACTCAGGTTATGCATTTTCTTTGGGGTTAGAAAAATTTCCAAAGTCCACAACGAATCCCAAAGCCTGCCCTATCCTGGTTTATTCATTTAATTATCCTTCCAGGCCTTTGCGGTAGTTCACTAATGCACGGCAATACAGGCAAAATACATAAACATAACTAGCTTTTTTGAGCACCTTGAAAGAAAATTATTCTATTTCCCCTTATTGTCAATATTTTGCAAAACCCACCAACCTCTTCCAGTCACCATTTTACAAACAAAAGCAGCTGTTCAGCCTGGTGACAGGACAAAGCTATGCAAAATAAGCAGATGGCATTTTCCCAACAGTCGGCTAACATTTACTACTGAGCAAACAAATCTGACAGACTTGCTAACTCAAGTGCTCCATCGAGCAACAAGAGTCACGCCGTTTTTCTCCACTTGCAGAATGTGGCTCTCCAGCAAAAACAGATTCCGTAGCAGGATCATCTTCTTCTACTCTCCCCAACCGCTGGGAGAGCCGCCTGAGCGGGGTGGTGTGACTCGGTGTCCCACGGCAGCAGGCGGTCGGCCCTGACGGCCCTCTGGCCCTCCCAGCTCCACCGTTCTACGGTTCTATGTCCGCCGGCCTTCGCTGGCCCAAAAGGAGGTTTGGGCAGAACGACATGTAGCTTCCTCTGGATACCACACCACGTGCCCCACGCCAAACTGCCACCAACCTTTCCTTGCAAGCTCCAAGGGCAGAGAGGCCTCAACTTCTGACACGGGCAGGGAGTTCGCAGCCACCAGGGGATGAGGAGCTGGCTGTCCCACAAGCACACTGGTGCTCTCAGCGGCTGGGGAGGGAAAAAAGTGCTTACCAGAGGCCCGTCTGGGCTCCCGGACCAAGCGCAGCCAAACACGGCCGGTGCAGAGCTCCATTCTATTGGCACAGGAAACGGACATGCCGCAAGCTCCATGTAAGAGAAAAACTAAGCTAAATGCAAACACGCACTCAGGCCTGTGTGCTATGAATTGCTACATGCTGACTGCGGACGCCACCTTCTTGGAAACGTCTGCACCTCATTGCCCTCAAGGTAAGCACAGGCAATAGTGCCTCTGCCTTGGAAACTTGCAGCCCCCGTGAGAACACGACATGCTACTGCTTGGTCGCTGAAGAGCATGCCTGGAGAGCGGGGCCTGTGCTGTTTCCCAGAAAGGGCGCCTGACCTGCCCCATCTTACTAGAGTCCAGAAAAGCGGGGGGCTGCTTGCAGGGTCTCTTTTTCTGTGGCCTGTTTCAGCCACGGCAGCCTGTTCTTTCAGCACTGGCCAGCATGACCCATGCATCCAGGCTACACTCCCCTGCCCCCCTCAAACCAACAGGGGCAGGCAGCCTGTTACATAAAAGGCACAAATTTCTCCTCCTGACCATCTGCACAGCGTGACTTTCTTGGTACCGGGGACAACAGAACAGCACTGCCTAGCGAAAAGCTTTCTTGGGCAACGGCTGACCTTTCTGAACCTCCCGGAGGGGGCTGCTGATGACTGTCCACCACTTCTGTGCCTCACGCTCATCCTCAAAGTGGAAGACGAGAGGATCATCCAGGCGGGCCAAGACCTTCAGCTCGTGACAGGTAGCGGACTTCACTTCATAGGAGATCTCTCTGAGGTCGTATTCGACAAGGCTCTGGGAGCAGAAGAGGTACAGGGCTGGGGCAAGCCAAGAAGCCCAGTCCAGTCCAGCTGAAGCCGAGCTCTGTCTGTAACTGAACTGCCCGAGGAAGCACGTCGCCCCAGCCCTCCCTCTCTCTCGCTGGAATGCTACATCAAAAGGCAGGAAAACCCGCGTGCCTCTGTCTGCTCAGCTCTCCCTCGATCTGCTCTGCCCAGGGCATCTCAAGAAAGCAGAGCCGAGCATTTTGCCGCTTCCTGGAAAAAGAAAACGCAGGGGACGAGGCCCAAGAAGCGCAGCCTTCCCAACTGCTGTCCCCACCCCGCTGGGCAGCGGCACAGCGGGGTCCCCGGACCTCAGGCCAGGGCAAGAAGGCGCGCCTGGAGCTGCCCCCCGGGACACGCGGCTCGGCTTCCTTTTGGATGCGCCCACCTTCGCAGCAGGCGGGGGGGGGAGGGCCAGACCGGCCCCGAAGACGCGGAGGGGCAGCGCCGCCGGGCCCGCTCCTTTCGGGGGCGCCTGCATGAGCCTCGCCGGCCGGCGGCACCCGGACGCCCGGCCGACGGGGCAGCTGTGCCGGGAACGGGGCGCGCCGCCGGCTCCCCGGGCGGGCGGGCGGGCGGGAGGGGCGCCCGCCAAGAGGCGCCCGGGCCGGGCGTGGAGCACCCGCCGCTCGCACCCGCCCCCCCACCCGCGCTCACCACCTCGGGGCCCGAGTCC